ACTTCTAAATATAAGAAACAGTAGTACAAAATTTCTAGAAGAAATCAGGAGAAAATCTTTGTGACCTTCATTTAGATAATATTTTTTAGAACACAAAAGCAGAAACAATGAATGAAAAATATAATCAATTAACCTCATTCAAATTAAAAACTTTTCCTCTTGAGGTATTGTTAGAAAAGATGAGCTACAGATCAAAATAAAATACTGTATTTGTAAAACAGATATATGATAAGTTATTTGTATCCAGAACATATTTTAAAGACCCCTACAATTCAGTAACACAACCAACCCAATTTTTAAAATAAAGGTTTGATAAAACAATTCACTAAAGGAAATAGGCAAATGGCCAAAAAGTACTTGAGGAGATGACCAACATCATCAGTCATTAAGAAGATAAAAGTTTGAAAAAAAGGGATATATGACTATACACCTGCTGGAGTAGCTAAACCTAAAAAGGCCATCTACATCATGTGTTTGTGAAGGTGTAAAGCTCTAGCTGAAAGTGAGAGCTCTAGCATGTGGTAGTAGAAATGCAAAATGGCCCAAACATTTTAGAAGACAATTTGGAAGTTTCCTCTAATGTCAAATATACTTACCATATTACCTACTGCTAAGTATTTTTGCTTAGTCCCAATCATAGCTATAGTATTTACCCAAGAGATGAAAATGTAGTCCATGCAAAGCCTGTGTTCAAATATTTACAGTAGCTTTTAACAGCCACAGTTGGAAACAACCCAGATGTCCATCAACCAGTGAATGGATAAACAAATTATGGCATATCCATAACATTGAATACTACTCAGTAATAAAAGGATTACACTGCTGCTACATGTAAGAACGTGGGTAGATTTCAAAAGTATTATGTTAGGTGAAAATGGTTGCCAGGGGTGGAGGTGGAAGGAGACAGCTGAGTAAAATGTAATACAAGGGAATTTGGGGTGCTGAACTACCGTGATACTAGTCGTAGTTGCTTGACTATACATATTTATCAAAAATCATGGAACTGTACACTTGTAAAGGAATAAGTATAACTTAATGACCTTCACTTTAAAAACACACCCACATACACGAGAGGATTTTGAATCTCCTTTCTCATTGAAAATGCAAATTAAAGCAGTAAGAAAACTTTCTTCAACTCTTCAAATTTGCTTATATCTGCACATTACCATCAAGGATATAGGAAAGAATAACTTGCACTTAAGCATCAAAGCAACGCTTGAGCAGTATCTTTCAAAATAAAAAAGGGCCCAAATTTTTGATGAAATTTCATTTTGGGGGTTTTTTATTTTATATTTAAGACACATGCAAATAAATAGTAATTATATCATTGTTTATTAGAGCAAAAACTGGGTAGCAATCTTAATTTCCATTGAAAGGAGGTTTCAAATTAACTGTAATACATTTACACAATAAAGTACTGCAAAGCAGATATGTTTATGTGCCAGAATGGACCAGTTTCAAAAGGCGTCAAATGAAAATTATGATGCGGGGGCTGGGGATTTAGCTCAGCGGCATAAGCGCCTGCCTTGTGAGCAGGCAGTCGTGAGTTCGATCCCTGGTACCGATAAAAATGAAAAAGACCAAAAAAAAAAAAAAGAAAATTATGATGCACAGAATGACATGTAGTGTGCTCCCACTTGTGGATTTATTTTCTTTCAGTCCTAGAGACTGAATGAGGACCCTTGCACATGCTAGGATAGTTGTATTTTTTCAAAAAGTATGTGTATTCATTTGTGTGCATAGACTGTTAGACTAACAGTGCACACACACACGTACAAACATACCCTGGTATTAGTAATTTCCTGCACCACAGAAAAGGCTTATCCTTTTATTTATTTTTAATTGAACTTTTTTTTACTGTGTGTATATTAATCTTCTCAGTTAAAGAGAAAAGTATTTCACCTGCATACTTTGTAATAGATCAGTAAGAAATTTAGGAGTACACAGAGCTCTGAATGTCCTTCATTGTCTGTCAGCAGTGCAACAGTGGACTGCAGAGTTCTCGGCTCTGTCAGGTGCGATCTCCCTACGACGACCTCCCCTTGTAAGCACTGCTTTCTGCCTCCTAGTTTTCTTAGTGTCTCTTATTTTTCTGAATTCATGTGGTAAATGGTGGGAGAGGAGATAGACTCAGTTCACTTTATCTGGTTGGTGCCTTGTTGTACACTGGACTGCTCCTCTAAATTGTGTTCCTTTTTTAAAAACTAAGATCTAGAATGGTTGAGGGAAAAAGTGAGAAATGTGCTGAGTTCTGCAGGAAAGTGGGGCTGACACCTCAGCTACACACTGAGTGAGATGCCACCAGGCAGCTCTGCAAGTCTAGGGAGCATCAGGAGGGCAGTACTGAAATTGGCAGCACCCTTGGGAAATGGGGTAGCTTGGGAGGCTGTATTCAATTTAGTTTAGATATTAAATGAATTAAAATAAACGTGTTCAAGTTATGAGCTTTGTCTCATCAGTGCTATAAAAAGCCCTTTAGCCGAACTGTAACTCGACTCTCCTCCCTGAAACGTTATGCAATATTCCTATGGTTACAGAGTAATAAGTAGAAGCTAATCATTAGTTTGCTAAATGTGGTTCATGGACTAGTTCACAATTCCCAGACCTGCCAACGGCTGCTGGTTTAGATCCATGTTCACTCTTCTTGGTTAGAAATTGGATTGTTCCTCAGAAAAATGTACAGTAATACTTGTCTTGGGTCCAGAAGCCTTGCAGTGTGGCAGCTCTCCATGGTTTTGGGGGAATAAGAAAGGAAAAAGGTCACACTAAACAAAATTTTTGGATACATATGCTTCTGCTGGAAGGAATTAGTCAGGTGACAAAGAAAGGAATTAAAACTGAAGAACTTTTATTTATAAGGAAAGTCATATTGTTTGGATTTCTAGAAAATTGCTATGATAGAAATCTACAGAATTTACTATTCTGCAGTTCCAGAAATAAAATCATGCTCTTTAAGATTCTCCCTTGTTTGTTTCATACGACAATAGAGATTTCAATATTGGCCCTAGGTCACCCGTAAACACCACACAAGTCCTCTGGCTTTAGAAGCAGGCATATTATGGAATGAGACTTTTTCTGCCTCCTGTACAAGGAAATGTGAAGGGGAAGTACCGAGAGTAGCAGGCAATACTGGATTTATGCCTGTACCTGGGAATTAAAGGTTAGGTCCTGGGCTGGGGAGTTAGCTCAGCGGCATAAGCACCTGCTTTGCAAGCAGGCGGTCGTGAGTTCGATCCCCAGTACCAGGAAAAAAAAAAAGGAAGAAAAAAACAAATAAAGGTTAAGTCCTTAAGCCACTCATGAGCATTTGGCCTCTTCCTGTTAGGGTAAAAGTGAATTTTCCCCCCAATAAATGGAAACGATGCTGTAGTCACCTGTGACTCATCCTTCCTTCACTGCAGGCAGTCGGCCTCAACGCAGAGCCTCTTCCTCTGTTAATGTCAGTTCTTACGGACTGTCCCAAAAGAGATATTCCAGTGATTACTGCTCTTTACTTGGTGTATCATTAGATACCTTTGAATTAGTAGAAACAGAGAAAGTTGACCAAAACTAGAAAAGGAGGGATTTCTTGGCTCACATGATTTAAAAGGCATAGTTAGATAGAAGGGCTGAAGCCGTGTCCTCAGGACACACTATCTCGGTTTCCCTGTCTCTGGCCTTGCTATTTGGACTCACTGTCTGGCTCTGCGTGGTGGCACCTTGTAGTTACATAAGCTTACAGGTGCAAGCCCAGCAAACACCACCTGCCTCCTGGAAAAGTCCTGGAGTTCCCTGTGGCTTACTGGCTAGACCTTGGGCCATCCCTGAACCAGCACAACAGAAAGTGGACGCCTCTGGGTGCTGTCCTTCATCTAAGTCCTAACTCCTGGAAGGGACAAGAAAAGGAGCGCTTTCCAACTGGAAGTGAGGCACTGCTCAGCAAGAACAGGAGATGGCGGCAACTCCTGGTCCTTAGCCAGTGTGAGGAGGCTGGATTCTGCCCTCGATGTAACGATGGACTCCCCTGCCCTTGCAACGGTTTGCGTGTGACCTGAGCCACCAACACAGCTGACAACAAGGGATTCTGCTCGTGGGGAAACAGTTCATACTCCGAAGCCACCAACTCTTATTCTATTCTTCCTGTGTGCTGCTCAGGAATACTACAAGAACTCCTCCTTTTACAGTACTGTTACTTGAATACACACATTTGTTTAAAACTCCACACAGGAGGAGACTAAAGAGGAAATTATAAGGAGCCAACATAACTAGGATTGTGCTTACTGCACATCTGATCTTAATGTAATTTTTAAAATATATACAAGCAATGGAATCAAGTCATGCACAGTTTAGAAAATATAAAAACCACAATTTTACCACTTTAACCCAACCATTATTGTAATTTTAGAGTATTTCCTTTCAGTCCTCGTTCATATGAGTTTCTCACAGAGTTTTATATCTTGTTTTTTTTTTTTTACTTAACATTACATAATACATTTTCCATATTTCTGGACAGCCATCAGTATGGCAACATAATATTCTATTAGGAAGACATACTGTAAATCATTTAACCATTCTTTTTTAAACAGGCATTTTAGGTTGTCTAATTTTGTGTTTTTTCCCACTATATTTATAAAGTGTCTGCAGAACATTCTAGAATTAATATCTTTTCTCATGCCTTATCTTACTTCCTGGGGAGAGATTGTGAGAAATGGGATTACTACTTCAGAGGATATAAACGTTTTTAAGACTCTTGATGATACATATTGCCAGATTGCTTTTCAAAACTGTTGGATTTATCTCTCCTGCCTGCAGCAATTTATGAGAAATCAGTTTCACTGCATTCTTCCAGCACTAGACATGTGGGCTTTTAAGTATTTTCTTAATATATTAGGCAAAAGTATGTGTTATTTTTGTTTTAATTTTCATATCTTAGTCACTAACAAGGTTGAATGCTTTTAGGTGCATTTGTTTATTGGCTGTGTTTATGCTCTGCTTTACGCATTGTCTTTTCTTTACCTTAGATCCCAAAACAGCTTCAGAGACGGAAACAGATATCTGTGCCGAATGGGAGATAAAGACCATCACGAGTGCTCTAAAGACCTACCTAAGGTAGGGACTTTCCATGTGCAGGGCAGGGTGCCAGCTAGTTATGCAGTCAGGAAGGCACAGTTTTATTTTCAACCTCCAAAGAGCTGTTGGGTGGGTGTTTGAAATGTAGAAACAGCTTCTGTGTGGGTGCATTTATTTCGGATGGTCAAACTGATTGTAAATCACCCATAGTGGAGGGTTGCTATTGTGGGATGGTGCCAAGAGTGATTTAGGAAGCTTTGCTCATAATGAGAGGTACTGAGGTAAATAGTCTGGAACAAATCTAAAATATGGTCTTCCCTGAATAATCTGTTAAGAAAACAAGAAATCACGTATCACATTCTGCTAAGAATACACGGTTCCATATCCTCAATATTTTGATAGTTTTGTGCTCTGTCTATATAGTATATTGCATTGGTCCTTAAAAGTGAGAACTTGGTAGCACTCTGACTCCTTCCACTTTGAAATATTTTACAGTATATCATATTACCTTACTGAAGAGACTACTTTCCTTGTATTCCTGTAAATGATGTTACTACTACCTCCTCCTCTATCTCTTGAGTTATTTTATTTTATTTTTTTTTTATTGGTACCAGGGATTGAACTCACAACTGCCTGCTTACAAGGCAGGCGCTTATGCTGCTGAGCTAAATCCCCAGCCCCTATCTCTTGAGTTATTGACTACTTCTTGTATCTCTATTTCATGAAAAGACTGAAAGATGGACTTGAAGGATGAATATTGTAGTTCACACTGAATTCAGGAGTAAGATGAAGTGCAAGGGTTAACCAAGAGATAAACTAGGGTACCCAATAAGAATAAAATCTAAGCCATGAATGATGTATAGTCTATTGAGTTTATTATTTGGATTATCAGAAAAACTCAGGTTTGTATTTAAATATGTTTATACTCAGCAGGTCACATTTGCTTGTATTGTGCTTACTGTTAGGGGTTCCAGCCTGGTGGCACCCTGGAGCAAAACTCCACTCTGGAATAAGATACCTCCAAAGTTTTTTCATAGTGTTTTCATCTGAACTGATAACAACAACGAGCTGATGAAAAGATGAGAGCATTTAAGCACAAGTAAATGCAAATGTGCAGTTAGTTGATTGTTTCTCAGACACATCCTAAAATGCTCTTGCCGATAGGTGAGTCACGGACTGAAAAGGAAATCTCCTGGTTTGTGCTAGACTTTTGCATTAGCACTTTTCTAGCTGTGACTGTGAAGTAAAGCTGTAGCCATTCCTTCCAAAAAGATAATGAAGATTTCAGGTGAAATCCCAGGCCCCGTTCAATCAGGAAACTAAATTGAGTTGCTTTTCTTTCTCTGTGATTTTGGCTGTGAGAAATGTAATCCTTTTTTGTAGCCTTTAGGCTGCTGTTTAGAGAAACTATGATTTTTTTATTATTGAGCTGAGTAGTCTGTATCTTTATATTCCAGAATGCTTCCAGGACCACTCATGATGTACCAGTTTCAAAGAAGTTTCATCAAAGCAGCAAGTAAGTCATCTTTTATTCCAGTTTTAAGAGGAAGAAAGTAGAATTTTCTATTTCAACCAACAGCTAGCATATCAAAATAAATATCCTCTAATTCATTGTAATGTGCACCTGAGTGCTCATATACATGCTTTGAATAATAGAAATGAAGTCAAATCAGAACTGCTAAGGGCCTTGCTATGACATCAAATTTGTAGAAGGAGATAGACACTAAAGAGGTCTTTTCTTTTCAAATTTGTCTTTCTAGATTTGATTATTGGAGTTCTAATTTGTTGGGTTATTCCCCATCCTTAGAGTGGCATTTTACAGAATGAAGCAAACATTGCACATTACCTAAATTGAGCATTGAAGTGTCTTCCTAATGCAATACCATGGATATAACTTTATAGTCCCCTTTCCATCTTGTCCTCCGTTTCTGATCATTCTTCAGTCATATTACCCAGGTCCCTAATAGCATGTTACTGGTATTAAAATATATAGATATTAGATGCAGGCTAGCCTAAGTATGCTGGTATCTGTATATGTAATATAGGCAGGTTATAAGGGCCATTTTGATTCTCTGTCAGATTTAAACCTGGCATGAATCCTCACAGTATTATTGTGTCGATAGCTTGTGCCTGTCCCTGGTTCCTTTCAGCCTTTAAGGTTTGTTTACCTTGCAATTACTACTGGCCTAATTTATTAGTACCTCATGTTCTGGTGACCTCATCTACTCATAGTTGTCCCCTTAAAATTGTTAGAAGAAAGCTGAGAGTGTAGATAGTGTTTATGCGATTTCTTTCTCAGAGAAATTCCAAACCCATAGCAACCATTCTCTAATTAAAACTCACATCAGTCCTATAAATAGATGCAATGCGTATCAGCAGTCTACTTTCCAGAGAAATGAAGCTGCTTACCCAAGTTTAACCAGAAGAATATGACAAGCCATGGTATTTGTTACAGGGGGCAGGGAGATTTAAATACCTTGTCTGCCATTGCTTTCTCTCTAGCATGCTACCGTCATGCATACCTTGGGAATAATGGGGATTTCCTTCAGTTTCTTTGATGTAATCCAGACGCATTATTTTGAAATTTGAGATCTTTGCAATGTTGTTGATGGAAGATTTGTTTATCACTTTCTGAGTGCATAAAGTTCCTCCCTTCTTTGAAATGAAGTTTGCCCTGTAGGGAGGCGGCTGCTCCTCTGAGTTTATTCCTGCTCTGGGTATGCACTTGAGTAGCCCCCACTCATCACATCATCATTTTGGTTTGAATATTTTGACAAACCCTGTTATTGAAAGCACCATTTAAAAGGGTTTAGCGATCTAGTAGTTGTACTGGTCGTGCAGTTCACACACAAGACAGGCTCATAAATCTTTGAGAAATCTTGGTTCCTTAGTATCCAAACTTTGATTTCCCTTGATTTTATCTTTAAAAGAAAGTTAACTGTGAAACTGAAAGAATATTACCTCCTTCCTTCACTCACAGAGCTGGAGAACCAGGAAACTCGGGTCTCTGAAATTCACAGCCTCGTTCATCGGCTCCCAGAGAAAAATCGGCAGATGTTACAGCTGCTTATGAACCACTTGGCAAAGTAGGTTTATAACTGATTGCTGGCCCTTTTCTCACCCCAGAAAGCCCTTATCTTAGCAGTAAAGCTGGTCTCAGTTCTGCTTATGTTTCCCTCTCCCACTATTGCATCAGGTATACTGGAGGCTTAGGAAAGAAATGTGTGAAATGTTAACTGAGTGGATAACAGCAGTAAATGCCAGATGGCTCTCACAGAAGAGGCTGGGGAAGTGCCCATGAGACCATGTTGCCACGCAGAGTTTGCAGAGAAATTCTGCTCTTGTCCTGATCAAGGGTAAACCAGAATGTGTCATCCACAATGCCAGGTCACCACATAAGAATTTTTAGGGCTTATATGTTCTTTTGATGATCCAAGGACATGGGAGAATATGTTGTGAGTTTACAGAACTTGGATTAGGAGTAAGAAGGCCTGGATTCTAGGGCTGATTATCTTCTGAGCAAGACACTTAACCACTTTTGAGCAACTCCCCTAAGCTTTCCATCCCTTAGTTTCTTAGTTGGCAAGTGTAAGTAGTAGAGTCTGTCTATAAAGTCACTGACTTTGAAGCCTTTGAAGAAATATGCAGAATAAAGGAATTATTTTTGGCAAGTGCTCACTTGTTCTCTGAGATAATCAAAGCATTCAGTGAGGGTCTGATTTTCCTGTTAGGAATGCTTACATTGTTGGAATGGTTTTGAGTTTTTTGTGTATTTACTGTTGGTGGACTCTTTTTGGAATGGCCTTCCCTTGCTGTGTCAGTCACTTCTGTATGTTATGTTCTAACCTTACATTAACTTTGATAGAATGTTCTTGATTGCAGACTGGAGCAAAAGAAAAGAATAATTATGTGGCACTTAACAGAAGTTTTCAAGCACAAAATTCTACCGAACTGATATTTTAAATTTGGCCCTTGCTACCACTTGGTTCATGCTGTTAAATCAGTGCTTTGGAATAAGTTGATATTCATCTGAGGGAGCTTATGATGCTTAGTTTTCATGTATCTGACAAGTGTTTTACACTGTCTTCTAGAAAGAAAGCTTGTCCGTATCCTATGGATTTGTACCCATATGGCTAGGTATGATGGTGCATGCCTGTAATCCCAGAACTCAGGAGAATGAGACAGAAGGATTACCCTGAGTTCCAGGCTGGTCTGGACTACATAGTGAGTTCAAGGTTCAAGCCCAGCCTAAACTACATAGCAAGACCCTATCTCAACACCCCCCCGCCCAATAAGATTTGCATCAGGGTGAAGAAATGAATGTAGTTTTTTTGTTTTTGTCTTTTTCTTCTTATTTCATATGGTATAGACCTGCTAAGGCATATGTTTGGGATGTCAATGAGAAGCTGCTAGGTAGAATTGAGGACTGTTCTGTTAATTGGTAGATTTTTTTCCTTGCCATGCTATATTAGAATTGCATGTCTAGAAAAAAGTACAGCAGAGAACATGTGAGTTTGTTGGGAGATTACCTCCATAATGAATTGTGATAAAATGTGGTTTAAGATAATGCGAACTGGGTTTTAAAAGGTAGTTCTACATGCTCTGAGATGACAGTTTAGCACCTTCCACAGAACCCAGAGTCAATAAAACTTGACTTGATCTTAGTTGCAAAATGTGGTACACTTGAAGAGCATACCCTAAAATGTGAAATTCTTGATACGTACTCCAGCCAACCATATGTGGGGATGCTTGTGACTGCGTTATGTCCTGCATCTGAAGGAGGCCTTGAGAGCTGCTGGGAGCAGTAGGAGAAGGGTTAGGAACAGAGCTGAAAGCAGTAGATCTTGTCAAACTGCAATTGGAGAGCTTATTTGGACTGAAAGAGACCAAGAGTGAATGGTGATCCTGCAGGACCAGTATTGATTGCCCTGAGAATTGTTGGAGGACTCTTTCATGAGGTAAGGAAGAAACGAAACTTGAAGGTGGCTCTTGAACAGTTGAGCCTATTCATCCCAATGGATGAGTGCTGGATGGTTTGTTTCTCTTTTATCCTCTCCCCAATTCCATTAAGTTCAGTCTAGTTTTATTCCTAACCTGGGGTGTTAGGCTACAACAGGTGCATGAGCATTGCAGTTACACTGTTGACTTTTTGCCTGCTAATCATTTCGTTGTTAAAGTTGTTTATTTCCTAGCATTTCTGGAGCACTATCTTAGTTTTGATACTTGAGAATGACTTTCTTTGGTCTTTCGGCATTTCTTTATTCATTTAATCATCAAAAAATCTACCCATAGACAAGCTCTCATGCCTTAGTGGTGGGTTGGTGACAGTGAGTGGTGGAAAGCAGAGGCTCTAGTTCTGAGTGTGCTGTTTTTGGTCTGCAGAGCTTCCAGATTTAAAATGTCCCTGAGGAGGGAAATGGGTGTAAGCGAGCACTGCTGAATCCAGTAAAGAGTATTTATCTAGTCTCAAAAAATTCTTTGGCACCCACAGGAGTTCTGAGATTCCACTGAAACCATATTCTCACTTAGAGTACTGTCCTTATTTTAAAATTCAGCTGTAAGGGAAAGTTAACTGGGGATAAGAGCTTTGTGTGATTCCAGTTTTCTCAGGTTCCAACTTGCCCTAGGATTTGCCTGAACTATTGTTCTTTTAGGCCAGTTGCTTATTGGTCAGCTTCCTTCCTAAGTTTTGGTTTCAGGACCTATTCTGCTGGAAAACCTGATGTTTACTTCTCTCATTACCCACTGTTTGCCTCACGCATCTCAGGCTTCTGGTTCAAAGTCAAATCATTCTGTATTGTGTATTTTTTTAAAGTACTCTTTTGAAAACTTTTCCAAAATTTATTTCCTTTAACTATTAAGGAAGAGTTAAGACATTTTGTATTAATCCTGACAAAAAATATATTTAGAAAGAAAAAGAACCTTAGAGGGAAAAGATACAAACTCCAAACCTTTTAAAACAAATGATTACCAGGGTACATCCAAATCACAGAGATGCTCGGTTTGTTTCAGACCTCAGAGGGAACATACGAATTATAGGCAACCATGCACATATTTTTGTCATTCCAGTTTAAATCTACTATGATAGAGGTTTTCTATTTGGATCTTGGAATCTGGTGCGCAGTCTAGAGTCATGTGCCGCAGAGCATGGTTAGAATCACCTGGGGTGCTTGTTTACTTTGGCATTTCTAGGCTGCACTCTGGGTTTACTAAATGAGATCCCTCCTGGGAATCTGCATTTCTGATTTATTTCCTAGATAATTATTATATAAACAGTCTTTTGAGAACCACTGGCCTATTGAATGGGCCATATGTAAAGATTTTCCAAGAGTCAGCGATGGTATTAAGGGGAATATGTGTTGGGATTTAGGAAGGTATTAGTGAGAGGAAGAAGCATAAAGCTGGGTGCTCACAATTTTATCATGATTAGATTAGTAAAAAAAAAAAAAAACTTGCAAGACTTTGCAATTTGACATTCTATTAAATTCAACAAATTTCTTAATGTCTTGTATAAAACACTTATAATTATGAAGAAAAGCATTCTCATCTAGCTTTGGAACTTTGTACAAATTATTTTGCCTTTTTGAGCCTCTTTTTTTTTTTTTTAGTTCTTATCAATTCTGTGATTTCTGTGTTTTCATTCGTTGGGGAGGGGTACAGGAACAAGAAAAAGATTTTTCTGATCTTATAATTGTAGAAGAAAATAAGATTTGATGAGTAATAAAAACCAATTTCATGATTGTTTTCTAATGTTTATATGTTATGATGACTCCAAGTATGTTGTATGTGCTCACACATACCATTCACAGTGGCTTATGTAACTTTATTACAGTGTTGATGCAACAAAAGAGAATTTCAAAGGGCTTTCCATACATTAACAGTTGCTATTAAAAGTATCTTTTCACAGCTGGTTTTCCCAAAATACTTATTTGAAAATAAATCTTGGTCTCTTTTCTTTTTGGGGTGGTGGTAGTGGTTATTCTTTTGTTGCTAGAATGCTGGCTGAGAGTCAGGACACTGTTTTGCTTCTCCAACATGGTATCATTTAAGGTGTATTTGCCTGTACGAAATAGAATATTCAATTCTAAATGGCTTAAACAATAAGGGCATCCATTGTGTAATTACACAGAATCACTTCTGAGAGTTGGTTAATTGCTTGGCTCCTGAGGGACTCTGGTTATGTCCATGTTCTTGCTGACTGAGCCTCATTGTGTTGTCCAGTTCCTCTCAGTATCATAAAATGTTACATCACGTCCTTGCACATTAATCCTTGAATAGAGGCAGAAGAAGTGTTATTTCTGCTTTAAGTCTGTGTAAGGACTACTGTGGTAATTTTTTCTGATGATACTTTCTACAGATATTCTCTAGCTGACTTCTCATTACATCTCCTTAAAGCAATCACCGAAAAGGAGAAAAGGACCACCATGCTGATTTTGCACCACACAAGGTTTAGCTGATCTGCCTGTAGAAGACACAAACACCAGAATAAAAGTTTAGCTTTGCACAGCAGCCGACAGTGTCTGCAGCAAGAAGTCTTCCTAAAACAGCATTCCACAGAGAGCATTAAATTTATTGAATAACTTTCACGTGGTGAGTTACCTCAGTGTGGCACCAACAGGCCAGTTTGAGAGGAGCGATGAGTCCGTGTGCACTACACCGAGATTTTGAAGGGGGAAGGTAAGGGAGGAAGGGGGAAGGAAGGATTGACTTTCATCCCATTGGCTCTTTATCCTTACCATTCTTTTCATTACCCAGTTGTCTAATGCTTATTTTGATCATTTGTTACATGTTGTAACTTTCCCAATGGATTAAATTCTATCAGTTGCAGGGATCATGAAAAAAATTGTGGGACCAGTGGTTGGGATATAAATGAAACCTTATCAAAATGTATAGACACTATTGGCAGAACTTATCACGGATTGACTACCGGTTAGTGCAGCTTTTTGCCCCTTCTTGTGACTGGACTTTCTTGTGAGTATTTTCAAGCTTCCCTGTAAATCAGAGGATATATTCATATTTTGTTAGTGATTTAGAAAGAGTAAGTTGAGTTCATGTTCAAATGCCTGTGGTTACAAAGCAAGTCATT